TAACTAGACTCATTTCGAAAAACCCTCAAATTTTTGATTTGCTAATAATCAAATGAATCTCAAGGGAAAAAAAGGTTTTAAAAAAAGAAAGAGCTACAAACATGAACTTCTGCCGACAAAAAAATCGCACAGATGCAGGTTTGAAGCCCAAAGAAAAAACCCCGATACGAGTAAAACTAACTAAAAAAAGCGCTCAATACAACTGTAGAGCAGACCTAGATTACTTTCCCTGACGATCCGTTTAAGTGAAACCTAGGTAGGTTTGTCTGGCTCACTAGGTGTATCTATATATATATATATATATATATATATATATTCAAGCATTTATGGTTGAATAATTTAGACATATTATTTTATTGAGTAGATTTACACTTGATATGTCTGATTCTAGTTTGATTGCACAACAATTAAAGGAACATTCCTGTTCACATTCACGATTTAGACAAATATTAATCAACAATGCAAGTATGCTCCATCATGAAAATAAAAATAAATTTCAAATTCTGCAAAACTAAATAAAATGAATTATGAGTACACCAAGTTTTAAAATGTCTATAACAGCAAGTTTTTAAAATATCTAAATTGTAATTTTTTTTTTTAAATTACAATCATGACAGAATGTTTTAAAACATATATTTCAATTTTTAAGAAAAGATTTTTACAATATAAATTAAGCTGTAAATATACATAGCTGTAAATTTTTGAATTAACAGAGCATATTCATGTGCATTCACAAAAATTCATAACTGTCAATTGTATTAATTCTTTGTGTTAGCAGTTCACCCCTGATGATGACTTTGGATGAGACTGAAAAATAAAAAGAATAAAAAACAGCTACAGCATCTTCCTCAGTCAGGTTAATTGCAACATTAAGAAAAAGACCCATGATTATAACAGGATTAAAATAAAAATAAATAGATATAAAATGACTAACCTATTCAACCGAACATGCTTGAAAGAAGATATGCTGCTTTTCTATATATATATATATATATATATATATATATATCAGTTCATCCCATAAGTTCTGTCCGAATTTTGAATAAAGAAAACAAGTGACCAAATGTTACATTTAATTACAGATTCAATCAACAATGTATTTTCCCTGATTATTTATGACTTCCATCTATTAACAAGCTTACTAATTCCATTACTGTAAAATTCTTTTGGCTTTGATTCGAAGAACTCACAAATGTCAGTTTTAACCTCTTCCTGTGTTACAAAAGCTGTTTCTTCCAAATGATTCTGTAAGCTACTAAAAACAAATGGTAGTCTGAAGGAGCAAGATCGAGAATGGGGTGGATGAGGAATTTTCTCCCAACCAAGTTCTTCGATCTTTTGTGACGTGATTCTTGCTGTGTGGAGTCGCGCATTGTCCTGATGAAACATCACCTCTTTTCGATTCACTAGAGCAGGTTTTTTTTCTCAAAGCTTAGTTCAAATGCTCTAATTGCTGACAGTATATTTGAGCATTAATTTTGCATTAGATGGTAAGAATTCAAAGTGGATTATTCTTGGCGATCCCACCAGATTGAAAAAGAAGAACCTTTTGCCCATGAAGTTCCCTTTCGGCTGTAGCTGGGGTCCTTCCCTTTACCAAGCCACTGTCTACGATGCTTAACATTTCGATAAACGATCCATTTTTTCATCGCCAGTCACAAGTCTATCCAAAAAGGTGAAACAAGTTGGCGAGAATGGAGAGAAGAGCAGATGTCAACTCGGGATTTGAGGTTGTTTTCAGACAATTCATGAGGCACCCATTTTCCAAGTTTAGGAATTTTTCCAAGTTGTTGAAGATGACGATGAACAGTTGTATGGTTTGAACTGAGAACCACTGCCAATTCCTCAACTGATAAACCAGGATTTTCTTCAGGGTCTGCTTCAAGAAGCTTTTCATCATACTCAACTGGATGTCTGCTTTGATCTTCAAGGGTGAAATCTCCACCTCTGAATTTTGCAAACCATCTTCTGCAAGTTCTTTCATTCCCACATTCCTCTCCATAAACTGAGTCAATGTTTCTAGCCGCTTCGGCTGCTGAGTTTCCTTTCTTGAACTGATAAAGCATTATATGACTCAAATGATGCTTGGGTACTTCCATGTTAGCAGGGTTTTAATCAAACAAAATTTTATTTTATTTTTCTCTGAAATAAAATTTGATCAGTTTAAATGCATCTAAACATAAAAATAATGTTCAGCTCTATTAGACATTATAAAATACTCTTTAAATTTCGTTCATTTAAAAAAAAAAGGTAAAATTCAGACAGAACTTATGGGATGACCTGATATATATATATATATATATATATATATACACACACACACACACACACACACACATATATATATATATATATATAGATAGATATACACATATATATATATATATATATATATATATATATATATATATATATATATATACACACACACACATATATATATATATATATAGATATATATATATATATATATATATATATATATATATATATACACACATATATATATATATATATATATATATATATATATATATATCACTTTAATACACAAATTTGGGAAGATGTCCCATTTATTTTTAACTGTATATTTATTTTCATCTACCTGTCTGAATATTCAAGAAATCTTGTGAAAGAAAAAATATAAATATGTATATATATATATATATATATATATATATATATATATATTGATATATATTGACCATAAATATTATATATATATATATATATATATATATATATATATATGTGTATTAGGGCAGCTGATCATTATTCAAACATATATTGTCAAATATAACAGACAATGAATGTCTATTATGTTCGATTACGTGGCATTCTAAACTCCATACAGTTACTTTAATTTCAAGGGAAAATAAATACAAAAATTGTCCAACATTTGAATATTTTTTATTATGCTATTCCTTGATCTAAGCTTTCGTCTCACATGAGCCATCTTCAGTATGGTTATATGAACATTTAAACAAAGCTATTCACCATTGTAGATGATATTCTGTTATGTTGTCAAAGATTGCAATGCAACGATGATAGTTGTGGTATAGCAGACACAGGCCGTAAATTCATGATGCAGTTCTATGATGTCATACGACATTAGAGAACAAAATATTGAAATTACATTTCAAACTAGTTATAACACGTTACATTGTTTCTAGACATATGGTTCTGTTGTTAATATTTTGGTGTCTCACATGGTGAATATCTTTGTTTAAATGTCCATATAACCACTATGAACTGAGAGACTAGATCAAGTAACAGCATAATAAAAAATATCCAAATCTTAGACAACTATTGTCTTTATTTTCTCCCGGAATTAAACCTACTGATTAGAACAACTCATGATCAAACATAATAGATATTTGCATGTTTTCATTAAAACATGTGGCATTGAAACATTTAGATAAGTTTTGTCTACTTATTTTCAATAGGATCCTCTCATATTCACGACAAGCTTTTTAGTATCCTTATTAAAGAAAGAAAAAAAATGTTGATACATATTCAATTATTCTGAGTATTTTCAACATTAGAATAATGGCATCATCAGGGTGTTGTTTTTTTAAGACATGTGATGACCCTATTAAAAATAAGTAGACAAAATTTGTATAAACTGCTCAATGAGACATATCTTAATTTATATATATATATATATATATATATATATGTATTTAAATAAAAAAGAAAGAACAGTAAGATATATAATCCAGTGTTCTTATAGATATTTTTATTTTTACAAAATAGTGCTCAATGTAAATTTACAGAGCATTAATATTATAATTAATTGATTTAAAATATACAAAAAAGCTATACAGTTCTAACCATGTTTCAAAAATGGAAGCTAAAAGCCATTTAATTTAATTTTGCAATTAAATTAAAGAAGCAGTCTTTAATTTAATTGCAAAATTAAATTTGTGGCTTTTCTTTCCATTTTGAAAAACTTAGAACTGTGTAGAAAAAAAACATATTTTAAATCGACAATTTATAATATATATATATATATATATATATATATATATATATATATATATATATATTTGTGTATTTAAGCAGCAAATTCTCTTTTTAGGCATGTCTGATTAAATAAATTACAAACATTATGCCTGCTTATTTTTAGCATAATCCTTTCATATTCACAAATATTTTTCCATGTATTACAATCAAATGATGCAAGTAATGCACGGTAACAGTGAAAGTCACTTTTATTTTCCAAGTATTTTCCATCTCTTTCTGAGATCATCATCAGGGGTGCAACTGGTAAGGCAAAAACTATTTGTAGCTATATGTTACCATTATCCACACTATATGAATATAAAGATAAAAGGTAAACTTATCTTAGCTGACGTTTTTCAGTCTCTGATGAACTTTATCCAAGTCAAATGCAAGGAATTTATTTTGCAACAAATATATCTAAAAAGAAATTAAAAATGTATTTTTTTATTTTAAAATTTTGTAAAACTAACAACATTTTTAATTTTTTGTTTATAAATATTTGTTGCAAAAAGGTAAAAATATTTTAACATGTTAACATTAATTTAAAATGTTTAAATTCAAAAATTTTGATAAACTAACATTTACATTTGTTTATAAGCACTTGTTGCAAAATAAAATCCCTACATTTGCCTTGATAAAGTTTGTCAGAGGACAAAACATGCTGGCTAAGGTAAATTTTCTATTTGTCTTTATTCAGTCTTTTTACACATATACCTTTTAGTTATATCTGAAATTTTATAATATCTCACTTCTCAGTATCAGTATTTCAATGACTAAACACAAAAATACTTATTTTAAGAAGTGGGTCATACTGAGAACTTTTCTGTACCCCCTTACATATCAAGGTATGTGTGTGTAATCACTGACAGCTTGACCTAAACCCTGATCACTTTTCTAAAAGTCTGTTCATTCCTTCATATTTAATTTCTGTTTTCTTTTATCAGCAAGGGTCACCCAGTTTTAAGCAACATCTCCAACCCAACCTGCACTCTTAG